CAGTGTTGAACAGGTGGGTTTTGAGTGATGTTTTGAATGCTGTGAGGGAGGAAGAATCTCTGATGGATTGGGGTAGTGAGTTCCAGAGGGTGGGAAGAAGAAGGCTCTGCCGCCCCAGGACTTGAGATACAACAACAAATACAGTCTCCAACATAACTACAACCATAAAAAAAGAAATTATCACATGTTTTATTCATTTGAAGGTGACAGGTGACTGGTCTGGCCACAAAAGTGTCATGTGTATGTGTGCCGGTAAAGTAATGAATAATTGAAAAGGTACAACGTATTATCATGGGCCCTTAAGAAAATCACCATGAGTATACACAGTATTAAATAACAAACAAATAAATACATTTGCCCAAAGTTCCTTTTCATTGTTATTTCATGTTAAAAGCCCACTTGATTTAGATATAGGCTGGGGATTTAACCACTAACCTTCCCATTGCTAACAAGCAGCTTGACATACTGTAATTAATACATTGACTGTTCCAATGGAAAACTGCTGAACTTTCATTAAAATATGTTTTAAAAGCTATAAATGACTAAAAGCCAAATACAGAGATGTGTCTTACTTGTCGAGTGTACCACAATGCTGCGTTGATGTGGAATCACTTGTTCACGATATAGAAGCTGTTGAAAAAGAAACACGAAAAATATCAGAAATTTCAAAAATAACATGAATGGCAAACAAACTAAATTCCAATTGAAATAGGTGTGTCCTACTCGTCCATTGAGCATTATAATCAGGGCTGCACATAACTGGTGCGCAGGTGCGCATGCGCACCTCCGCCAAAAAAAGAGCACCGGGTCATTTGAAACAAAGCGCATTTGCGTACCAACATTGAGAGGGAGAGAGAGAAGAGAAAAGAGAAAATAGAGGAGATAGGAGAGATGAGAGAGAGAGAGAAGAGAGAAGAGAAAGAGAGAAAGATATTTGCGAGTTGCATATGAACCATGATATGAACTCAGGGCCGGCCCGTAGCTCTGGCTAGATGTTCGCCTAGGGCGCCAGATCTGTGGAGGTGCTGCGCTGGCAGTTCTGGGAGGGAAAAAAACATTTTGACCGTTGGGGCTCATCCTAATTTTCGGCCTTGATGTAACAATATTCACAATTAAGTAAATGTAACACCCTTTTCACCCCGGTTCCACCTTTCATTTGCCACGATGGGCGCTGATGAAAATGGGGGATGTTGGCTTATCTGGCGCCCGCAGCTCACAGACAAAATGCGAGTGAGCGAGGGAGAGAGGGAGGGTGGTACCAGCGCTGTTGTTATTAGAATCTGGTGCCGTGCTAGCTGCTCTAACGGAGATAAGAAGAAGATGTTTCTACAATAATGTGGAGGGAGAGTCCTCTCCAGTCAGACTGAGAGGCTGGTAAGTTAACTACAGCTCAGTGAGGTAAAGGACTCTTAGTCTAAGTGCAAACGGGTTGGTCGCAATTTATGTAAACACATATTTCCAAGGCACTCCTTTATAATTATTGGGATAAACAGGTTTTAAATCATTCCAATGTATACTTTAGGACAGTAACCAAAAAATATCCTTTAAAACTGGAGAGATACAAAAAAAAAGCATAAATAAATAAATGTTAAGGTAAAATAAGATATGAATGAACAACACAAATAAAATAAGTTACATTAATTTGTTATTGGCTATGGTAGGCTATTGGTTATGTTCACATACTTATTTGATTACATCCACTTGTCTAAGATGACAACAGAGACTTTCGACCCAAAACCAGCTGTTGACTTGTGGGTGCAAGCATCTAATCGCAGACTCAACCAGAGAGAAAGTAGTAGGCCTACATCATCAGCTACCATGTCTGACAGAGAGGAAGACAGTGAGGAGAACAGTCAGGAGGGTAGTGATGACAGCTTGTAGGATTACTGGTCGTGCTAATGTTGTCTTGTGTTCACCTCTGCATGTGTGTTCAGTGTTCACCTCTGCATGTGGGTTCAGTGCCGTGTGTCTGGCAAATAAAGTCAAGACCCCCTCAAAAGTTACGGTTTATTTCCTTCTAAGGATGAGCACCAAGCAACATCTCCAGGTGCTCCTTTGAGAACCAGGGCAAAAAAGTTATGTGCACCCCTGATTATAATGCTGCTTTTATGTGCGGTGACTTGGTCAAATGACAATTTCAATAAAAAAATGCTATATTTTAAATAAATATATAATAAAACTTAAATCCAATTGAAAGGAAGTGTCCAACTCATCTGGCATATTTTGAAATGCTGCATTGTTATCTGGTAACATTTCATGGAATCTTTTGAAAAAAGTGTTTTGTCTTACGTGTCCAGTGTATTTCTAATGCTGCTCAGGGTTTGAGTTTTGTGTGTCTAGTTTTGGGTTTATTTTGCTGTATAAAGCGCATACGGGGGACCCCTGTGTATATCTATACTTTATATAATCTATAATGGACTTTTGTTTATTCTTTAATTTTTCAAATGTATTCATTTAATATGGGTGACATCTGGGGGGAGAGTTGAATAGTTAAATATTTACTTTTATGATAAGTATTTGGTATGCTTAAAGTAAAAAATGTAAATCCTACTTACTATAATGAAAGAAAAGTATATACAAACCTTTTGGATTTTAAATGTCATACAACATTTCTGCATATAATTCATATTTGTAATTCACATTACAAATATGGAAAAAGGTATTAATGAAATATGTGTTTATTGTATGCCATGCCTGCCTGTGAATACCTAGTCCAAATTTGGTGACATTATTATTATTTCCAGAGATACATGCTAATGTTCTATATTATAGTTCTTTTAAACAACAATCCTCTCAACTAGAAATATATGTAAGCAACGGCCAAACATGGTTTTGCTTTGTTCTGCATCGCAAGGGGTATCCCAACTTTTAGGGGCCTTGGCTCTACAAGTGCACCTATAAAAAAACAGAAAATCCAACTACTTACATCATAATGTGTGATTATGCTCTTTTTGCATTGACCTGTTGTCAGCTGCAGAGTCACTTACTGATGTTTGGGACAGGCCCTCTGTACATTGCTTCTTATTTGACCAGCCAATGGACTGGAGGCGGTGGGCCAACACCCTCTACACAGCATCCCGGCCACACAGCACTGCATATCCTCCTGGGACCACCCGAGAAAAAAAAGTGTCTTCCAATTTCCTTTTTTTGTGATTTCCTACCTATTTAGGGTTGAAAATAAATCTTGCAATTTAGACTTTTTTAATTTAATTTAATTTTTAAATGTTACAGTATGTCCACTGAGGACGTCGGGACCATTTTAGTTTGAAAAGACAGCCAAAATGAACAGATAGACTATGTAACGTATGATGGTAGAGTGATATTAATGGAAGAATACATTCACCTTTATTTAAAACATATTAAATAAGTAATTGATCTGAACATTGCTGTTTATTTGGTCACTAAAAAACTAGTTTGGTTTTTGGTGAATCTTTCCAGATCTTCAAAGACTTTGTCGTCAATGTCCTGGGAAAAGTACCTCATTGACTCCAGTCGGCATGGGCTGTAGAGTCATATTGACTAGTTTTATGGATGTGGTCTCCATTTGACCATGCTCATAGAAACAAAGCTTGCATTCCTGAGACAATTCTCATTTTTCATGGCTCCACTTAAAATAAAAACAACAATAAGACATACGTGCTACTCTGGGCCCACAGAGGGCCATGTCTTTCCAGCTCGTCCCTATCTGTCTCTGTCTGTATCTGTGCGCTCATGGAGCCTCCTGCATCTTTCCCCCCTTTCTTCTTGACCCTCTTCTATCCCAGGTGTGAAAGCCTCATCTCTCTCATCACCTGAGAGCTCTAAATCTGAATCTCCCTGAACTATCTGGTGCAGAAAATATCTGCTTCAGTTCCGTCTCCTGCAACAATATTGAGTCATAAAGTCCATGAAGATGGTCCTGACGTCCACTAGGATGGACATTTATAAAAGAGCTGTTATTTCAAAACTTGAATTATTTAATTGCTTTCAGAACTAATGATAGAGTTCCTCACATGTTAATAAACAAGAACATATATGATTTTCATGGTAAAAATTACAATTATTCAACAATATTTGACTTCTCCTCCTGCTTCTATAAAATGTTGTTGTTGGTATGCCAGCCATTTTGGATGAAAAGAAAGAGGAACTTCCCAGCATGCAATTTTAACCAATGACATATCACTGGAAAGACCAGGATGTCCTCTGTACAGCACATCAGGGATTGATAGAGTAGCTCAAAAGAGTAAAAGGAGATGCATGTTAACAAAATGTCCACTACAGTGGACATTTTCAATGGGCTGGGTCCCCCTTTGGATTTTAAATGTCATACTACATTTCTGCATATAATTCACGTGTGTATAAATTACAAATATGGAAAAAGGTATTATTGAAGTGTTTATTGTATGCCATGCCTGCCTGTGAACACCTAGTCCAAATTTGGTGACATTTTTATTATTATTAGATACATGCTAATGTTCTATATTATAGTTTTTTTAAAGAACAATCCTCTCAACTAGAAATATGTAAGCAATGGCCAAACATGGTTTTGCTTTGTTCTGCATCTCAAGGGGTATCACAACTTTTAGGGGCCTCCTTGGCTCTACAATACCACCTATAAAAAAAAGATTTTCCTTACAGACAATCCAACTATTACATCATAATGTGTGATTATGCTCTTTTTGCATTGACCTGTTGTCAGCTGCAGAGTCACTTACTGATGTTTGGGACAGGCCCTCTGTACATTGCTTCTTATTTTACCAGCCAATGGAATGGAGGCGGTGGGCCAACACCCTCTACACATCCCGGCCACACAGCACTGCATATACGCCATTTTGAGTGTGGCAACACGCCTCCTGGACCTTTAAACCGTTCGCTAAGCACGGTACAGGAAGCAGCATGAAACACTCACAACAGATAAACCTCTCCAATGTATTTAATATCATTATTTCCCCACTGCTATTGGCTGGTTGAGCAACTTCCACGCCTCCAGTGTCTCCTGCCTCACCTGTCATGGAGGACAGCATGCGTCATATTACGTCTCGCTGTGACGTTGCTACCGGCGAGATGTTACTTAAGCAACTTTTATAACTCACCGCTGAGAAGTCATAGGATCTCGAGAAAACTCACCGTGAGAATTAAGGTACAGTTTAGACAAATCTTTCTTACAAAAAAGTCACAGAGTTGTTATTATTATTGCATGTAGCCTACGTTGCTCACAAAGTAACAGCATGCTAGTTTGTTCTGATTAACATTGTAAACAGACTAAAGTTGGATTTTCTTTTAACTTTTTTAACCGTATTGTAACTGTAACCAAGGGTCTATTCTATACTCAACCATCTATTTTAAGTGATATTAATGCAATAATATCAATTAATACTCAAACAGAAAGTGATTTTATGAACCAATTAAACTCACTATAGGCTACTGTTCAGAGCTAATTAAGGACATTATATTATATTATGTTCTGACAATCTGGTTTTCTCTCACCTGGGAACTCAACCTACTTGACATGTGCTTTCATTTTGAAATGTAATACCATTTTAATAAATATTTCATCTTGTTTCCACTTTATTCAGAAAACAAATGGCTCTCAGAGGTGCTGTCACCCGTCTGCTCTGCAACAGCCCGAAATGTGCTGCTGTTGCTGCTTCCAGAGCCCAGGGCACAGCTGCAACAGCAATCAAAGGTACAATTATTATCATAGTTATTTTAATATATGTATATTATATTTATATATATAAGTTTAGAGTGATTGTTTTGAGAGACATATCAAACTTCTTCACCTTTGTCCAAAATGAAAAGAACTCACAGGAAGGCAAAACAGATAAACAGTACGTTTTTTAAATGTCTCTAAGGTAAGCACATTTTAATTTTTCTTCCTTTTTAGATGTTGAAGAAATCAAAAAACCGGCGAAAGCACGTGAGTGAAGTTATTTTTTAAAAGTCCATCCTGAACTGTCCAGATTACTTCACACAACCTGTTGTCACATGACATAGTGACATAACCAGTGTGTTTATGTGTATGACCGACCCTCAGCCAAGGTGGCGTTTGACTGGCGGGACGCTCTGAATATTGAGAGTCAGCTTACAGAGGAGGAGATCATGATCCGAGACACCTTCCGTGATTACTGCCAGGAAAAGCTCATGCCCCGCATCGTCATGGCCAACAGACATGAACGTAAGCAAAGCATACAGAGGAATTATGTTTTGTTTTTTTACTCACTTTTCGAGTTGCAACTGTTAGAATATCTAAGTTGTGCAAAAAGTGTTTGGTTTCTGATTAATATTTGACTGTCAGTTTTTATTTTCCCAACATGCTACAGATTTTCACCGTGAAATTGTCTCAGAGATGGGAGAGTTGGGCGTCTTAGGCCCAACTATTAAAGGTAAAATGAAACAAAGCCTCACCTTCACAATTTCGTACTACGGAATACAAAAATTACTGAAACAAATGTTTAAATAACAATATCTTCCAAACATGTTTAAACTTGTAAAATATGCACCTACATTGTTATAAAACTCAACACCAATAATAGTTTTGCCCTCAGAAATGTTAAGTGTGCAAGTATACAACATTTATAATACTATTATTATACATTATATTGTGTCATGTTACATGTCATTGATTTCATGTATTCAAGCACAACATAAATGAATAATGTAAGATGTTATTACACCATCAATCAGTACATTTCATTACAATATTGGGTTTTATTATTTTTCGATTAGGTCAGGTGCAATTTTTACAAAATCTTTAGGTCTTTTTAAAATTAAAGGAAATTATTTCACCAGTGTGTGCTTCAAGGTCTTTACATTTGTTTTCTATATGTTTGTATAAGAATTACTCATAGCTCATTACTTGGTGTTTTATTCACCCTGCAGGGTACGGCTGTGCAGGAACGAGTTATGTGGCGTACGGCTTGATAGCCAGAGAGGTGGAGAGAGTGGACAGCGCGTATCGATCGGTCATGAGTGTCCAGTCTTCCCTGGTCATGCACCCGATCTATGCTTACGGCACGGACGCCCAGAAGGAGAAGTACCTGCCCCGACTCGGTGAGAAACAAATGTTCTGCATTTGGTATGCTTGAATAAAAGGCAAAAGGACGTACTTACGATCGTGCCTCATGTTTTTATTTTCCTCGCAGCTCGTGGAGAAATCCTTGGATGCTTTGGCTTGACAGAGCCCAACCACGGCAGTGATCCCAGCAGCATGGAGACCAAGGCCAAATACAACCCCTCCAGTGGTACCTTCAGCGTCAGCGGAGCCAAGACCTGGTGGGTAGTCACATACAAGGAGCGTTGGCTTTCTTGAGTGCTATCTCAAAGCAGAATGGGAGAAATTGAAGATACAGAGTTGTTTAGAGACCAACAATGTGAAAATAACTTATACTATATGCTAGTATGTATGAAATCTTAACAAATGCTGTAAATCACACTCGTGGGTTAGCTTGTTATTTGAGGTCCAAAACGTTAAATTAAACTTTGGTCCATTCCAAGCGTCAAGCCCTTTGTGAAATACTTACATATACAGTCATGCAGTTCATGTTTTTCTCGTTCTTCACTCTTCTCTATCTGCTAGGATTACAAACTCCCCCGAGGCAGACATCGCAGTTGTGTGGGCCAAGTGTGAAGATGACAAGATTCGGGGTTTCATTCTGGAGCGTGGAATGAAGGGTTTTGCCACCCCCAAGATTGAAGGAAAGTTCTCGCTGAGGGCGTCTGCAACCGGCATGATCCTGATGGATGAGGTGGAGGTTCCCCAGGAGAACCTGCTGCCAAATGTCTCCGGTCTGGCTGTAAGTGGCTGCTCTCTTAGTCCAAGTTCTCTTACATCTTTGAGATCAAGTGCTGTATCTTAAAATCTAATATTTCTTTGGTTATTGACCTTTGTGATCAGGGTCCCTTTGGCTGTCTGAACAACGCTCGGTACGGCATTGCATGGGGAGCTCTGGGAGCTGCTGAATTCTGCTTCCACGCTGCCCGACAGTACACTCTGGACAGGTACATGACCTTCTGTTAACAGTTTTTGTGTTCAGTTAAGGTAAAGGGATAGTTTGGATTGTTTATAGTCTGGTTGTATGAGGTCCTTATCCATAGTTGGTGTATTACCAGTCCTGCAGCCGGAAAACTTGATTTAGCCACCTTCAAAAATCAATATCAGTTGATTTGTGTACGCCCGTATTTGAAATATCTTCACCATTATGTGTAATCGGTTGCCATTGTTGAATACAAACATTAAGATTTTTAAAGTTACACAACACAAACAAAGTAAACCAAACGAAAGGGCTGTCTGATGGCAAGGTTAACCAGTGAAAATGTTACAAATAAAGTTGACAACTGATACTATTTCAAGCAAGGTTTTTTACGAGACTAAAATATGTTTTGCTGCTGCCCCTGTACTGGGGCCTCATTTACAAAGGGATATACGCTCAAAAGATGGCGTACGCCAGTTTCTACGCAATGTTTGCGATTTATAAAATACTAACTTGATGGGAAAATGTGCGGTCCTCCACGCAAACTCTAACCCATACGTACGCACTAAGCATAACAACGGGAGAGACGAGAAACTGCGACACCGTTGGCAGAAGGAAGAATGGAGAGAAATATGTGGAAATAATAGAATGATAGGCTACCTCTCATTTATCATATATGAAGAATTCATTTTTAAACATTGATTAAAGCCAATCTTAAAATGATTAAACAAACGCCTGTTTGAGACTCCTCAGTGCACACAAAAACATAACTTGGAGAAATAAATAAATACGGATATGTTATTTAAAACCACCTCGAATATGTTGTGTTAATGTTATGAAATGTTTTCTCATAAATGATGCGGTAAGCAGGAGGATAGAATTACGTCTAAACTGACGCCATTTTGCATTTCTATAGGTTGTTGATACGAGCATGGTTTTATATACTATCATGTTTAATCGTGTTTTATGCCGTTTGCCAAGACTTGATAAGTCGCTCGTAAAACACAGGAGGTATGGAAACTAAGAACACCATATGTGGTAAATTGTACAGCTGATATAACACAACACATTAGTTGTATTTCCTTTAACTGGTGGATATAGAGTTGCTGCGGGGGGGGGTTGAGATGCACAGGCTGCAGCGGAGACGCTGCGCACAGCTGATCGACAGCTGGGACACAAACCACCAAATACAAACAAATAATTCAGATCCAGTCGTCATGACTCCACACCGGGGGGATTCCCCATTCACTTCTTAGAGTTTCTCATCAAGGGGGGTCTCCTGTCCCCGGTACAAACACACTGCCTGAGGAAGGCTATGTGTATTGTTTTTGTCATGAACCTTTTTCGGGCCATTTATTTATTTATTTTGGTGACGATCCGACCTCCATGCTGCTGCTCTGGTTCAAACGGCATCCACCAAACAATATGATTTATCTCGACCTCCCCAAAATAACCCACATCTGACACGGTGTGAGATGTCTTTTTTAGCTTGTCTGTCGTCATTTCCTGCGATCTTCTTCATAAAGTCAGTCAGAATGAATGAATGAATGAATGGGCGTTTCTTTGACTATTTATAGGCAAATATGGGCGTTACGGGAAGCCCGCAAAAGCTGCACCGCATTTCGAGTCGATTGTGATTTATAAAGGGAAACCGGCGTAGGAAGTGCTGTACGCACTTTCCTCGCCGGTGCGCAATGTTTGGTGAATCGGAAAATGTCGGAACATTTCTGTACCTATTTTTTGGATTTCTACTACGTAAGCAACCTTCCCACGTGAATCCTACGCACGGCGTTATAAATGAGGCTCCTGAGCAGTACATTATACTCCCGACTTCAGATAAGAACCTCATTCTGCAACACTACAAATAATCACAACTATCCCTTTAAAGCCGAACGACCTAACAGACATAACAAAGTCCAACCTCAGGGAAAAAGTTTAAACATTACCATACTGTGTTTGAATCCAGTTCTCCTTCTGTTATGCCAGCCTCATCTTTTTTTGTAATGGATTGGTTTTCATATCTTTCTTTCCTCCAATCAGAATCCAGTTCGGGGTGCCACTGGCCAGGAACCAGCTGATGCAGAAGAAAATGGCTGACATGCTGACAGAGATCACCATTGGGCTGCAGTCATGTCTGACCCTTGGAAGACTTATTGATGACAAGAAGTGAGTCTTCTCTTACTATCATTACATTGTTAGCGTCTTTTCTAGCTATCTCAGCGGTTGATGCTGTCTTCTAGGAAAAAAAAGTTTGTTTTAATGTGTTCTTATCCTAATAGAGCGGCACCAGATATGATCTCCATGCTGAAGAGGAATAGCTGTGGCAAGGCTTTGGATATTGCCAGACAAGCCAGAGACATGCTTGGAGGAAACGGCATCTCAGATGAGTACCACATCATCCGTCACGTCATGAACCTGGAAGCAGTCAACACATACGAGGGTAAGCACACACCCAGATACATCTAGTATGCATTTTTTAAATACCGACATAAGTCATTATTGTAGTGAAAAAGATGTGAAACGTAGCTGCAATTATTTACCTCAACCACCAGAGGTCAGAGCAGTGCAGAGATTATGAGAGGTTGATTAAGAAATGCACTTTTTAGAACACTGTCCAATAATAAATCAAGTTTATACATAGCAAACTTTAAATAAAAAATAGAAATCAAACGATCCTGTTGTAATTTGGCAGAACTATTATTCAAAACAATGTGTATTCTCTTATCTAAAGAGGACTGAGGAAAGTTTGGAGACTACTACTCACAAGAGAAGTATTTCCTCATCTATGTGAAAACCACTTGTTGATAAAGGTTTCTCATTGTTCTTTCTTTTATAGGAACTCATGACATTCATGCCTTGATCCTGGGCAGAGCCATCACTGGACTGCAGTCGTTTTCTGTTGAAAAGTAAAATGTTGAAATGGAATGATCTGGATTTATACTGTGCTTCCTGTTTCTCATCTGGTAAACCCATATGAGTAAAACATAAATCCTGGTGCATGTTAAGTTGCGGCAATATGAGTTTTTGTGACAATTAAATATGTAAATAAATGGCTTTAAATTAATGGTAAGATGTGACTGTAGCTGTGATTCAGAATGTAAAAATATCTTAATAGACATTAATAGGTCAATTGATAATTGTGTTCTGCTGTCATTTTACATTATCATGTTAGTAACTTATGATTAAAGATCACACTATCTTTGCTGACTTATTTAAGATATGGTGCAAACATCTAAGAACAAAAATATTGTGGTTTATTCCGCTTGTAAGCTATACTTTTTTAATTGACTCAAAGTTCTGAAATTGAACATACATAAACATGGGTTCAGCTTTTGTTTTAGTCTTCTTTTAATGCAATCATTAGCACACATAAAAAGCAATACAATGTTTACCTGGGCATGTTTGATTAAGAAGCCATGTATGAACTGCACACCAGAAATAGGTAGACATTCACATTAGATGTTTGTGGTACTGAAAATGTAAATAATTGCAATTAATAATAATGTTCTATAAGCAAAGACACAATGTACCGTGTATTCATGGAAAAATAGGAAGAAAAAGGCAACTTTTCAGAATACTCAACATAGTAAACCAAAGAGCACATTAACAAACTCAGAACAATTTAACAAATAATGCGGACATCGGAACAATTACTAGTTTTTAGGGTTCTGATGTCTGGCTAATAGCCAAGGCCCCTCTGAGACCTGCCAGTGCATGACTGGCCTCCAGGAGCTCACTGTTGAGCTTAGTGCAGCTCTCCAGCACCTCCGACAACTCCAGCAACTTCAGCTGCATCTCATTGCTGTTCTCTTCATACACCGTGAACAAGTGCTCCTTCATCTGCTGACACATCTCTGTCACCTAGGGGATTAAATGTAAGGGATCAAATAAAATAGAACAGCTGTGGGCAGAGTAAAGGCACTCATTCATAATGTGCCATTTACATTCAAGTAGACCAAAACAGTAGATAGAAAAAAGCTCACTTATAAATATAATTTACGAATGACAGATTCAAGGTGTATTCAGGGCCTAAGTGAAGTTCACAAAAGAGTATTTTTTAAGTATGTATAAAGATGTAGACTAAATTATGATTAAAAATACCTTTGCGACTAACTTGTCCTGGAAGCTGTCCATCACTTTCTGGTCACTAGTGCGGCTGTTGTTAATATTTTCCACCAGCTCCTGAACTCTCCTGCTGATGTCAGTTACTTTCGAGCTAAGAAAGATATTGACAATAGAGAATTCATCATCCTAGAGCAAGTGGACCAAACTGCTACACGAAATATCACTTGAAGTTGATGCAATGGACTGTACTAAACCTGGTATCCTGCTCTTGAATATCAGTCATGCTCAGGCTTGAGGACTTTCCTCTTGGTGACTCGTTGTCTGTGTCTTCTGTCTGTATCACCCAGGACAATGAAAAAATTACAATGAGTGTATTATTACAAGGTGGCTTGCTTACAGTAAACATTTACTGTACAATAATGGTTTCATAGATCACCTAACAGTCCACATCAAATCGGTTTTAAATATATTGACGAACATTTTTAACTTATGGAAAACTTAAGCAGTTGGGACTATTTAAAAAAACGTTGTGACTCCTGGGTCTTTAGATAAATGTGATAATCGGTTACCATTTGGGAATCTTCATGTCCGCTTTTGGGAGTGGACTGTGAGGTGGATGGTAGGTCGTCAAAGTAAAAATCCATGTTGGTTTGTTTGACTCTGCAAATCTAAAATAAACAAAACAAAACACACCTGCTAAAAATACACAAATAGTGTTGGTAACAACAATAACCTAGTGTTCTGTGCAATGTAACGTTAGTCAAAGAGGATGGCTCAAGTCTAATGAACTACAGCTAACGTTAGCTAACTGCCTCCTTTAGCTTAAGCATCCCCCTCTAGGCTGTTAAGTGTAACATTACATTTACGAATACAAACCACATTATGAATATAGTTATATTAATGTGATATTACAAACTTTGCTTATAATATACTTGTCAGAAGACCAGTGCTGTTTGTGTGACGTATAAGTTTAACTAACTATCTGCACTTTTAGCTGCCACAGCTAAATGCTAATGTATGTCCCGCTAAGGTAACGTTTATCCCCTGGATTCGTTTTTATGTTGATGTTGTCAAATACACATTGAAACTAAAAATAATAAGATACAAATATATATAATACATTTATAAAGCTACAGTTTGAAAGGAGGAGATGGTCTCACCTTGTTAGCAGAGGTAGAAAGTAGCAACAGCACACTGTACAAATAATTTACTACATAAAGATGTAAACACCTTGTAAAAAAAACTAAAAACGCATGAAACCCCGTTATGTTCTTTAGAGAGAGTTGTATTGTAAATAATATTAGGAGGTTAGGATTAGGTATGAAGGTATTAGGTGAACAGTGCCAAAGAAAATGGAAACAAGTAGGCTATACCTAAACATTGTCAGGTCAGATACTTTCCACCATAGACTGTAGCTTTCCAGCCAGTTCCACCAATGTTTTCACCAATGTAACACTCTTCAGTTAAAAATATGGACAGAAAACCGTATTTATCATTAATCAGAGAAACCGTTGAGAGATTATCAGAAGTTATATAAAAAAGAGAATTCCGGAAATGGGGCATGATTGAATTTAAACCTTTCCAGTCAGGAAGTCAGAAGGATGTATTTATGACCTTAAATAATTTTAAATGTCTTAGAAAGGATTTATTATGTACTTTGTGTGTGTGTGTGTGTGTGTGTGTGTGTGTGTGTGTGTGTGTGTGTGTGTGTGTGTGTGTGTGTGTGTGTGTGTGTGTGTGGGCACTCAATCAGATTGTCGTGGATTTGGTCATCTGTGTGAGGGATGGGGATGGGATGAGAGACTGATTGGAAGTGTAATCCCTGTTTCCTCTCTCTCTCCCTGTGTCAACGCCCACAGTGTGGATTATTTCAGTTGAGAGGAGGACACGGCACACAGCACAGAGGCACAAACCCTGCCAACAATGTCCTGATGTCTGGTGTGGAGGGACAAACTGATGGAAACAACATGATATTACTCATTAAAATCCTCTGGATGTTGGTGAAATGACAAGCAAAAATCCATATGTGACTAATATGGAATCTGCAAAAACGTTGACAGGTGGGTAAATGTATTCACTGGTCTATTTCTATTCTTTGTTATTATATTTTGCCTTATATTTGAATCAAATATATTTATTTTATTTTTAAGTAGTAGTGTTTGACTCTGCCTCTGCATTTTAGGGAGTGACACGTACCTGGGCAAGTGGATGAGTCAAATTGGGAACCTTTCCGCTTTGCACGTGATGAATAAACTACTTTTGTAGGAGAACTGGTATCTTATACTGTGGGAATATGGCCAACTTAAACCACACAGAAGAAGGACTTTCATTTCAGTATTTGGTTCAAAACATGAAGCCTCTGTACACTGAGTACAAGCCTCCTTCCAGGGACGTCATCCAGCTACCGAAGTCTGTCCTCTACCTCCTGGTCGCCGTACTGGTCATAGTTGCTGTGGCTTACGCCATCGTTGGTCACCTCATCAAGGACCTCATGCTGGATATAACAGGTACTCATTTCTATAAGTGGAGCTGACTCGTTTTAAACTAACATTAGTTGGATAAAAGAACTCTTGTTGATCTAATTAACAGTAAGTTATCTTGTGCTGTTTGTCCTGATACATTTATACGGCTTACAATCTAGTATCAAACTGTATATATAAATTCATGCTTAATGAAGCCAGTGATGGCAAAACTAAACCGTTTTTATTTGCTTTTTGAACTTGAGTTGCTCCACCATGTATTACAGCTTGAGTCTCAACTCACATGTTTTTCTAGTATAAAGACAGGATCAGAAAATGTCTAAGACATCTGTTCTCCTAACTTGGCTCAATTAGCTAGTATCAGGGATTACCTGAACATTCAATCCAAAACTCTCAGTTCAATTGTTAGTTCCACATATTTTTTCAAAGCTTGGGGTTATAAGTGTATATCTTTAAAGAAGAAATTCCACACATCATCCAGTAAAGGTTCCTGTCGTAGCAGCTACGGTCTTTAAAACAAATATTTCTGTGATAATTTAAAGGCTCAAATTAGACCAAATTAACTTTTGTCTCTTGAGTACTTTGAGTACTTGCTCTGTGCTATCGTAACAATACAGTGAGGACAGTTTTGTAAGGATGTTGGAGGAGGTTATTATGTAATATTATTCTGAATCCTTTCTTTCTGTCCACAGATTGTTTGCTGGGCCCAGTCGAAGATGACATAAAAAAAGACGGAGAAGGGGAGGGGTATAACAGCCCTCTGCACCTACCACCTTCCCTTAACCACTCCCACCCGAATGCCTTCCACGTGTGGGACACGGATCATGTCATCATCCCCATGTCTGCCCCAAATGAGAGCCCGTTGTCCCCATCTCTAATGGCCGTGATCCCTTACATGCCTTCTTTTTTCCCAAACTCCTTCAGCAACGTCAACAGCCCGCCGTGCAATCACCAAATCCCAAAGGAGAGTGATGCGTGAGGCAGCACGAAGGATCCAGAGACGGTTTTCAGACAATCTTTAGCTCCATGTTTCACCTCTGAAACACAAAGGAAATAAGTAACTGGGAAGTTCACATGAAAATCAATGATTGTCACAAATCCAATAACATCGTATGGCCGGCAGAGACTTGCAAACTATGCATTGAGACTTTTCCTGAATGGATTTATTTCTGTCGGACTAACTGATGAGTCTATTTAAGACAAAAGACAAACAGAACAGTTTTTCAGGATCAGAGCCAGGGACAGTCAGTGGGATGGCTTTCACTTTTCTCGTGGATGTGTGCCAAGTCAGTATCGTGACTATTAACCTTCTCCTAACAGACTCACGTCTTACACCTGTTTTTATGTTTGTAGAGTTTCTACTATCATTGACAAACTTCAGATGGAGTTAAGTTGTGACTGTATTCAAGATAAAACAATCCTCATTTATAATGAATTGATATTTGGCCATGAACAGGGGGTTTGTCTTTAGTGAAAGAGCCAAAATCACGTTTAAAAGTTGCGTTATATATTTTTGGAATATCCTGTCTACTGTATATTACATGTTACTTGTTAGACGCTTTTATCCAAAGCGACTTACACCTATATACCTGAAGAGACATGATGAAGAGAGCACATTACAGGAGAGCCAAGTGAGCTGCTGTGTGTCAAATAAAGCTGAGTACTAAGATAAGATCACTTGTGCGTCAATCTTATTCTGACACTTAATATATTTCTGGCCCAGGAGGATCGGATACTCCCTAATAGGGTGTAGTGTATTCAGTTAGTGGAGGTGAGTGTGGTAATATGACTGTGTGAGGCCATTTAAGGATAGGCACAGTAAGCAGAAGATTCATTCAATATAAAAAGGAAGATTTTGAAATACAGTGATCTTGTCTACTAATAATTTTGCATCATCTGGGTATTTGTAGTGAATGGGGTTGAAAAGTGTGACATGCATTAAACGATGGCCTTGATATGAAGTTATATGATTCAAAGAAGTCATATCTAATGCTACAGAAGTACACATACAATGGACATAAAGGCAATAACATTATATGATAAGACATGTTGGAAATAAAATGATCGACTCACATGAAAAAAATGTAAAGACACAATTTGGGTATCGATGTAAAATACGTTTTTGATTTTGCAGATCTCAGATCTTTAAGTACAGTCAGTTTAGGTCGTAACAGCAGCAGTTATGAAGCTATATCTTTTAGCTTGTTGGCATCCAAAAACAGACAGATGTTGGGGTTTATTTTAAGCATTTAATAGCACATGAAGCTGCAACATCACACACACGGTAAACATCAGCATTTTCAATAATTCCCTGTGTTTGTGCCCATAACTAAAAAAGGGATTATTCCACCGTCACTGTCTCTCTCTGGACAAACATCAAAGTTAAAAAAAAAAACAGAGTGCCCTTATTCAGTGAGGGATTGAGATTAGGCAGAGAAGATTAGATGAGCAGCTTAGCCTTTAATACAGCATCCTTTTATTACTTTTGAATTAGATAATCGGACAGCCGCAGCCTAATCTCAGTGGAACAATTTCTAAAGCTTACATTGTTTATTCTGCTTGTATGACAGGGGTGCAAGCATGCAGTGTAAAACTAGTGAAAGAGATACAATATTTGTTTGGATTTCTGCTTCTACTTATAGTTTTTATTAGTTTTTATTAAAGTTCTCAACACCTACATCTTTAATTTAGGATATCAACCACTAAATCGCAACTTTCTGAATGTGGGTTTTTCAGTTCTGACTTGGGGGAAGTTTTTCTAATCCTATTTCGTCAGAGAAGAGATCTCAGTGCTCTAAAGTCGTCACTGACCCTGCAGAGTAGCTCTTCAAGGGCTGCCGGGGGTTAGGGCTTAAGGTGGAGCCGATAAAGAAAGAAGGTCAATCTGAGGAAGTGAGATGCCGGAAGGTTTCAGACCATAACATCACAGTTCACACTGTTTTAATTTAATTTCTATAGGCTAGTGTCGTTTCTGGCCCTGGGTATTTCTGTTGCAGGGTTCAACACTGTGCTAGATGACCCCAGTTTTAATGTTCCACTGTCTATATCCGACCTACACTATAGAATAAATAATGAGCTTTCTGATCAACGAACATCTGATAACATAACATTAACACATAGACACATTTTTGGATTAGCTGTTATCTGGAACATGTGAGCGCAGGATGAATGTGCTGCAGTCCTGGATATTGGGTGACAGTTGGGGAAACATACATATGTAGCTATTTAACAAATCAACACCTGTGACCAACAAGGACTCAAAATGTGTACAGTTGTGAACAGAATTCAAGAAATGTAACATTGATTAACATAATATAAAGGGTAAACGAAAAACATGGAATTAAATTAATAACATTACATTATGAGCATGGCTTCCATTCGGTTACATGCTAATTAGCAGTTGTATTTAGCAGTCATCTCTATCCAGTATTCTTCTTTTGTGCATATGTATCCAAAATTGAGCATGTTCCTCTTTGTCATTGCAGTTTGATAGGTTTCACAAGTGCTAAAATGTGGTCATAGTTATTTGACCTTATACAAGCTTTTTCATTCTTCATTTCTTATGGCCAGCACTGGGTGCGTCCATTGTTTGCCAGAAGAAGTCAGATTGCATAGAAGAGTATAAGATAATTGCTTTTTACTTGATTTATTATCTTAGTAAACATGTTTCAATGAGTTCATGGTCTCAATTGCTAGTTTCCATTTGTCTGCGATATGGCATTGCTTCATACAATTAGCAATTAACATCAAAGTTAACATGTTTTACGGATGCAACATACTAATCAGGCTAGCTAGCACGCACTAGCATCAGCTGACAATTCCATATAGGTTTATAACAGGGAGGAGCAACCATTTTCACATTGTGACTGTCATTTGAGCTGTTTTTATTACAAACATAATTTGTTTTAGGGGCTTTAGTCATACATTTAAACTG